AATTTAAGATAACTTAATCTTATTATATTTTATTTTTAAAATAATACACAGACAAATTTTATAAAACATTTCGTTTTTAATTTCATAATTGTTAGATCTTAATTAGTTTACACGTACGCACGTCTTATAAAAGAACTAATATTGTCGATTGCACCATTACGTTTCATTGTGTATATCCTAACTTAAATTTTATTATCATCGCCGTTGGTACGCACACACCTACAATTGTAAAACAGTAATATATAAATAAAACTATATTTGTAATATTAATTAAATATTTCATCAAATATAGGAAAAATATGTCGAAATTTAGTACAATGAAATAATAAAGAAACTTGTTTAAAATCATGCTTAACAATTGACACAATCAATTTTTAAGAATTATATAACGTATTATAATTTTCTTGATTATGAAATGTAATTGACAATTAGGTTATAAAATCTCAAATAAACGTGAGAATTTAATCACAGTATTTTATTAAATTAAACGAAAAAGTGTGAAAAATGTATGATAAATCTTTAACACGTAATTCATATGGTAATCTTCAATTCCCTGAAACTATAACTATTATAATCCTATTACTCAAACTACTGCACAAAGCTAACACAAGAGTTACGTTTTACTTCATTTTCTTTAGTTTTGTTCAGTTTGTACAAGTAACAAGTAGTAAAATTAAAAATTTTGTGCAACCGACTTCAATACAAATATAATTTATTGTTGATTTTTTTATAAACCGCTCGACCGATTTTGATAAAATTTAAGTAGGACCTCGGCCACTTGGAGAGTATACCCTTTGAAACAAAAAAGAATTTTCCAAATCGTTTCAGGCGTCTTCGAGTATCTGGTAAACATACATTAAAAAAAAACAAAGATTCCGACGAATTGTAAACCTCCTCCTTTTTGAAGTCGGTTGACAAGTATATTAATTGGATGTTACTTAATTAATTTTCTAAAATCAAGGAAAATTTAATATCACTATATTCAAAGTTTATATGACAGAGCTTAGAAATCGATTTTGTGCAATTCCATATTACATTACATCTTACATGCAATCACTTTCTTCAAAGTCTTTGAACGGTTTAAAATACTTATTAAGCGTCAAAGGTTATTAATCTAATACCACCAATACGCACTTAGGTCATCTTAACCTATGTTTAGCATAAATATTAGAAGCTTGTCCTTAATCATTGGCGAAAGTTTACAATGTATTAATTTCTTTACGCAAATAGGTTATAAAAGTTAACATATTATAAATCAAAATGCATAAAGTTTTCAATATACTACTGTTATATATTTATATTGAAAGCTTTATGCGTTTTTTATACATTCACTATGACACTGAAAGAAGTTTCCGTACTTGTATTTATTTTTCTCCTACTTTTTTATGTTTACTGTAGCTTAAATTTATAGACAGAAATTTTAGATTGTATTTCTACATTTTAAATAAAATAATTGATTATAAAATACTTGGTATTTTTTTAATGAATTTATTACGCACCTCAGTTACTTCAATTATTGCAGCTAAGAAAAGCGCAATTACATGTATTTTCCTGAAACATATAAATTACTTTTATTATAAAGAAAAAAGTAATGGAATGTGTTAGCGATAAAGTATAAGATGGGTACGTTGTCAAAAATGTCAAATGTAATTTTAATTCATTGATTTAAACAATTGTCAAATCTATTGCTCGTGAGGTATGGCAAATGCAAAAAAAATATAGTCCATAAGTGCTTTTCTACAATATTTTCTAGGTAGAGAATTAGAGTAATTATGACGTAGTTTCCGTAGTAGATTTAGGGCGGGATATGATTTCATAGAAACTTTGATCATACAATTTCCTCAAGATTATATTTTAATCTAAATTATCGTCGTTTCGTTGTTGGATTTTTATATTAAAAGGCTTTTTTTCATATAATAAAGGTGAAGCAAAATATTTCTTAACTTCAACAATCCGTTTTTCAGCCATATTTTTAAAACTCAAGTTCTTTTGTAAATTTTCTTGACTTCGCGTAAAGTTTGTATTGACTCTTGACTGACAATCGAAAGATTGTTATTAAACATTAAATTGTTAGCCCCATAGAAACATATAATTATAATAATAATAAACAATAAGATTTTTATTGATATCGAACGCCTGATATCGTTAATAAGAGTATTTTAATATTTCCAATTTTAAAATCGCGGTATCTGTTTAATAAACTTAGATCTTGAAAAATATGTATATTATTACTTAAAATTGCTATTTATTATAACTATTTTAAATACATGATTAGAAATAAAATTAACTTTTCTGTGTCAATCAGCCATACTGAGAAGTTCATATCGAATAGGTTCGCAAGGTACCTAGCTAAAACCAAATAATCTTAAATATTGTTAATATTAAATGAGTTGTGTATCCAAAAAAAAAATATTTTCAATAGCGGTTTATAAATATAAAAAAAATAAATTTTACAATTTGTTAAGGGTCTAGTAATGTTCTTAGTAGTGTTCTCTTTCACTTTTCGTTATTTCAATAATTCTATCGATGTATCAAATTTACTTCATCTATTAACATATGCTACTCATCCTGCTACTGACAATCGAATAAATGGTATTAACAAAATAGTCTGGACTGGGTTGAAAATCGTATGATAATCCACTACTTACTCTCCTCCCATGGGTATCGCTTGAGGCGACAGAGGTTAATGAAAACGAAGGTCAGTAGCACCATCTTCCTGATAACAACCAAGAATCTATGGGGAAGGCCTTTGTTCAGCATTGTACTTTCGATAGACTTAATAAATGAAAAAAAAAGTTAAAAGTATTTATAACGAAATCATGCAACGATAAAATAAGAAAACTGAATGAAAAAGAGACTGATTAAATTGTAAAGTTTTGATTACAAGTTGTAAGTAAAAATTAGAACAAGTAAGTGAAACTGAAGGATATTACTAATTTCTTCACTACGTATAAAAACCGCACTCACTACAAATAAACAAACTCCGTGAATAATAGTGGTGTCTGCTTAACTGATAATTTTAGAATAAACATTATGCAAGTAATAAAAGAAATCAAGAGAGATTTGTAAAAATTGATATTTCATATTTATAATTACTACACAATTACCCACATTATTAAAAGCATAATAACTTGATATATTACTAGAAAAGTTAAAAAGATAGTAGAAATTATAAGACTGTCTCTTTGTTCTACTGGTGTTAAGTACGACTGCTGAAATTGTGCCCAAAGGTGGTATCAGCTGGAAGTTAGATTCAATTAATTTTCTATGGCAGCCCAAAATCAGGAGTAGTTCAGAGAGTTTTCGGTATCTTACACCAATGGCTTGAAAACACATATAGCCGTCGGTTCTACGCCTGAACTCTCTCCGGTCGTGTTTGATTGCAGTCCCATCGGACTATGAGACCAAGGAGTTAGAAGGTGCAACCACTCTATAATCCTGTTCTGTATAAATGGCCCGTTCTGTCAAAACTGGCGTGGTCTGACTGGACTGAAGGACAATATTAACAAGATGGTAATGTCTTCCTGAGTCGTCTCGCACGCAGATTCGACGACTTCCAGCCTCCCGCACAAGCCGGTTTTCGAAAAGGCACTATAGACCACATATATACCCTTCGGAAAATTTTACAGAAAACCGAGAAGTACAATTTGGCACCATGTCTTAGGTATGTGGACTATGAGAAAGCCTTTGGTTCCGTCGAAATTTTGGCGGTGCTGCAGTCCTTTCAGCGGTGCCAAGTTGACTGTCGGTATATCGAAGTGCTGAAGTGTTTGTACTGTAGGTCTACGATGGCTATCTGAGTAGAGAACCAGAGTACGAAACCTATCCAACTGCAGAGAGGTGTCAGACAGGATGACTTTACATCCCCGTAATTCTTCACTGCTGCATTGTAAGACGTTTTCAAGCTACTGGACTGGAAAGGATACGGTATTAACATCAATGGCGAGTACATCACTAATTTTCAATTTGCTCACGATACATTCCTTATGGCAGAATCACTGGAGGACCTAAGCACTATGCTTAATGACCTCAATAGTGTATTCTAACGGACAGGTCTTAAGATGAACATGGACAAAACAAAGATCATGTATAACGTCCATATCATATCTATGCCGGTAGTTGTTAGGAGCACTAAGCTCGAAGTTATTGACGAGTATGTTAACCTGGGACAAATAGTCCGACTAGGTAAGTCCAAATTCAACCGAGAGGCCAATCGACGGATACAACTCGGCTGGACAGCGTTCGGAAAATTACGATACATCTACTCATTAGGTATACCTCAAAGCTTGGAAACGAAACTGTACAACCAGTGCATGTGACTTATGTGTGCAGTGATGACTTATAAAACTGAAACGTGGTCCTTCACGGTTGGCTATATGAGGAAACTGAAGGTCGCTCAGCGAGCTATGGAGAGGGCTATGCTCGGGGTTTCTCTGCGTGATAAACTTAGAAATGAGGATATCCACATTAGAACCAGAGTAACCGATATAGCCCAACGGATTAGTAAGCTGAAGTGGCAATGGGCCGGCCATATAGCTCGAAGAACCGACAGTCGATGGGGAAAAAAGGTTCTCGAGTGGCAGCCTCGTATCAGTAGGTGAAGCGTAGGGCGACGCCCCACTAGATGGAATGACGATCTGGTAAGACATGCAGGAAGTCGATGAATACAGGGGCTCAGGACCGTGCTTTGTGGCATTCGTTAGCCGAGGCCTATGTTCAGCAGTGGACTTGTGAAGGGCTGTAATGACGACGATGATGATGAATGTTTTTTTTTAATTTTATATTAATTTAGGTAATTCTAGATAAAGAAATATAAATTATCAGCTATTTCTGTATGGTATGTAAGTGTAATGTAAAATAATACGGATGGCAAAACTAAAAACAAGTTACTATCTTTTTTCAAGCAAAATACTTCGATCCTTAGAAATAAAATAGTAAATAACAGTAAATACATACTAAGTAAATGCCAAAGCTGAAGAGGGGAAATGTACTAATCTATTTTACTCACAATCCTTAGAAATAGATGGCAGAGTGCTATTGCCGGATGCGCCTGCAGTAATGCCAGTCATAGTCGGCGTGCCGCGATACCGAACTAACCAAACATTTCTTTAATGTTATCACCTGCAACAGCCATAAGCAGAACATACGCAAGGAAGCAACTAGCTTCTACACTAACATTGCTATGTTCAGTTATGACTTGGTTGATTTTTATTGCGTCATATTCACATACAACAGCATTTTGTATACATGCCGCGCGAAATTAAATCAATTTCAAATCCAAAACATATTATTAACTAACAGTGTTCGCGAATTTTAATGCGTAAACATGTATCATTTACTTATCCTACTAATCTGTACAAATGATTCTATTTTGTGTATTAGGTACAATAATAAGTGTCACTGGCGTAATAAAAGAGAATACAGTCGTCAAAAAATAGTTGACATTTATTTACGAGTAGATTCTTTCTTTATTTGTTGTTTCTTAAAACTGTGGGTCCCTTTAAAGTTTAAACAATATTAGAGGAACTGCCAACGGGGAATACATACTAATTTTTTTACTAGCTAATACACAACAGAGCCATGTAAAGCTGTCCGTGCGAAAAACAGCTGATACTCATATTCACACTGCGTTTAGCTCTGTGCTTTATTGGAAGTAAATACTAGAAATGAGTTGGGCGGTGACTCGAACTTTAGGCCTACTCAGTTTGAATAGCCTATCATGTAGAGAATGTCATGGGGGTCATGGTTGAATAGGGGCAAAAAGTTGTCATTACACTCCTAGGAGGACAAAATGGCCAAAGAGCAAAAAATTAAAATTCTTATTACATCTGTAACTCCGTCTTCTTCGGAGGTCCTTACACAGTCTTTACTTCCCGCTTGTTTATAACATAATATAAGCTAACTGGATATTGTACTTTTTGAAAATCGACGATTAGAATCGCACCGATTGGATCACAGATAACACTAAACAAGAAATTAATACTGGCAGGCAATGGCAACTGCCTATCTTTATCTTGTTGTTTTGTTTTGATAAGGATTTCATAATGATTAATACATTTCATTCTACTTATTTTTTTTAACAATTTTATACTATTTTCAAGATTAGTCGGCGCATAACGACAAAGCAGATATCGATTACGACAGAAGCGATTTTGTTGTATACAACACGAAAAGCGTAAGCGCATTTAAGTTGCCAATGAAAAAAGTACTAAATTTCAACCCAAGCTTATTTTAATACATCACTGAAAACCACAATCCAATCGGTCCAGGCGTTGTGGATATTAGCGTGCACAAACGCACCGTAAACAGACAAAAACTTTAAAATATTTTATTAAAAATATTTAATTGTTTTAATTTCGCGTGGATTAAGGAGGTTAATTATCATTAACATCCATAATATTTTCTACTTTTTTTTTTCTATAATGCTAACATTCAAACTAGAAGAGTAAATCATAGTTCACAGATTTACAAGTAGTATTGAAATATTATTTTATTTAAGTAAATTAGTTAATAATTCCTGTATTCTCATTCTTCGTATATATTCAAAACACATCGATATTACTTTAAGTAAAAAATCAAAACTGGATTTATCTTATTAATAATCTATTTTTCCAAATTACAATAGTTTAATTTCAAACCAGGTTTTAGCATTATTTCTAAGCTGTAATTGAACAACATCGAGAGCTGATTACGTAAAGATATTTCTCCATACTTACCAAACAATAGTCCAATAATAACAAGCCCGATTACACCCATGATTATCATCATCTGAAATAACATATAAAAGTTAAAGTTACAGCCTATATATTTCCCACTGCAGGGCGCAAGCCTCCTCTCATTTATGAGAGGGTTTTAGGGCAAGGGAGTGTACGCCGCGCTGCCACAGTGCGAGTTGGCGTACTTCACATGTCTTCGAAATATTTTTTTCTTATTTTTTTTTTGTTATATTTATTTATTTTTCTCAGACATGCAAGTTTACTCACCGAGCACGTGGTAAATCAGCACTTAAAATTTCAATTAACAATTTCATTGGTGCCGGCAGTGATCGAACCCGGGTTTCTTGCGTACTGTGAAATTTACAGCGAGCGTTTAGCCCCTGAGCTACCACGGCTCTCAAATAAAATATAAATCATATTAAGTATAATATAAGGTTCATATTCGTCTTCAATATCATCAGCTCGCTAAATGTTCACAGCTGGCCAAGGGGTACTATACTTTTTAGGTAGATTTGCCTTAATACGCTTGGTATGGACGAGTGTATTACCAGACGTCACGCAACTTTAACGCTGCTGCCCATCGCCAATCTTATTATTTTACGCCTAGTGTAAAGGCTGGTTATAATGTCATCTATCGGAATCCAAAGCCTTATGTTTTTTATATATGTTTACTACTGTGCACCTAGTAATACCTAATAAGGTAATGGGTCCCAAGCGCCGCCGAAATAATACAAGGTATCTTACCTTCGATTTGCCGACGATATAGTCCTTATGGCAGATTCGCTGGAGGACCTATGCACTATGCTCAATGACCTCAATAGTGTTTCCCAACGGATAGGTCTTAAGATGAACATGGACAAAACAAAGATCATGTTTAATGTCCATGTCACACCTATGCCGGTAGTTGTTGGGAACACTAAGCTCGAAGTTGTTGACGAGTATGTTTACCTGGGACAAATAGTCCGACTAGGTAAGTCCAACTTCGACCGAGAGGTCAATCGACGGATTCAACTCGGTTGGGCAGCGTTCGGGAAATTACGGCACATCTTCTCGTCATGTATACCTCTAAACTTGAAAACGAGACTGTACACCCAGTGCGTGTTGCCAATGATGACATACGGAACTGAGACGTGTTCCTTCACTGCTGGCCGGATGAGGAAGCTCAAGGTCGCTCAGCGAGCTATGGAGAGGGCTATGCTCGGAGTTTCTCTGCGTGATAAACTCAGAAATGAGGATATCCGCAGTAGAACTAGAGTGACTGACATAGCCCAACGGATTAGTAAGCTGAAGTGGCAATGGGCCGGCCATATAGCTCGAAGAACCGACAACCGATGGGGAAGAAAGGTTCTCGAGTGGCAGCCTCCCACTAGATGGAGTGACGACCTGGTAAGATATGCAGGAAGTCGATGGATGCAGGTGGCTCAGGACCGTGCTTTGTGGCATTCTTTGGGGGAGGCCTATGTTCAGCAGTGGACTTGTGAAGGGCTGTAATGATGATGATGATGATCTTACGGCTAAAAGTCTGAGTGTAGGTACTAGGTAAATCTAGGATTAGCTGGCTATAACTGGGTTCAACCGATTGCGGTTGAATAATCGTAAGGAAACGTAAAAAAACACTTCGGTTTTTAGTCGTATATACAATACACTAAGCAAGCAATCAAGTTTCTAAAAAAATATTCATCGTGGTAAAACTATGCTGCAGCTACATAATAGTGTATAATAGTTATGGGTAAGATTGGGTGGGTCAGACGGAGAAGGACTACGCTCTCCCAGAATACCGACGTGAAATAGCAGCTTAATTAAAATTAAAAATTAAAAATTATTTATTTCGGAACTAGTCCGTATCACACGTCATAAATACACATCGCAATTAAAATATTAAATTAAAGTTAATAATATCAATTTTATATCAATTACATAAAAAAATATTTCATTTAAATTAAATTATTACAATTATTTAAATTCATACAAAATAAACAAACACAATAAAACAGCTTAATGCTCCTGTGTTTTGTGCGGTGAGTGTAGAGAACCAGAGACCGCATCAGTATTTTGATTCTTAATCGAGGAGAGATGTAGATTACTATGACTACCACATCCGCTTACCACAAAGTGGAATGTGCTCTCGTTTGTTACCCTTATTCTATTAAAAACTTAAAAGACGCTGAATGCGATCGACTCAAAGATCATGAAATTGAATGACCTTATAAACAGTATTTATTTCACTTGTATTCTCGCATATCCATAGCTCCCTGTATCAAAACAAAATAGCCAAAAAAGTGTTTTATTTCTGTTGTAGTTTATTAGCACAAAAATTAAAGGGATATATCACGCGCAAATTCTTCTGTTATAAAAGATTGCTTGAGAACAATAACAATAATTGAACAAAGAACTAAGAAGAGTGAAGACTGACCTTTAAGTTTTCCAGCCAAAATTTATTTTTCAAGCTCTTCGCTTGCTGCTCGAACTGTGAAGCGCCTTGTTGAAGAGCATCTGTAAATAATATTACCCATTCAAGCTTGAAGAATCCTTTTTCTATTAATTTAATAATTACGAATACGAATCCAGTTATTACTTGCTCTGTCGTCCAATTCTGATAATTTTGCATCCCGGTCTAATACCTTTTCAACATTAGTCTTCATGATGTCTACTACCTGAAATTTTAATCGAAATATTTTTAATGAAACTTAAATCACGATATTGAAATTCATAAAATACAATCTGTGTGTCAATTATTTTATTTAAGAAACATTTGCGGGCGCACAAACAACTACTTACCAATGCAATGTGGCATCATGATCTGATGAATACAATTAAGTAAGTTGCAGTTGTCCATGGGCTGCACTAGCCTCTTACCATCACGTGGACTAAATTCGTTTGTCATTTCAGTTTAATAAAAAAAAAGTATTCATATACTATTTTCTTTTATAAAACTAGTCATCTATGTAGTGGCCTCTAACCCATATTGTCATGTAGGTGTCGTAAGAGGTGACTGAGGGAAACAAACTAAGAGATGGACAGTAGTGTCTTCCTTATAACAACTATAAAATAAAAAATGTGGTCGCCAACCCACCTGTCCAGCGTGGCAACTATGACAAATATCCCTCTTATTAGACAGTCTATGGGGAGACTTAATTTTAGCAGTGGACTTCAATAGGCTGTGGAGAAGGATACGTTTATTACATACGCACCTCATCAACTTGAGCCTGCGTTTGTTGTAGCCTACGCTGTGCCGCAATTTGTTGTGGCGTGCGTGGTCCACCGATGATCTCTCCATCAGGTCCAGTTTGTGGTTCAGCCGGCGCTAAGCCTCCTGGTGTTTCGCCTGCCGATGCCCTGGAAAATACACGGACTGGTAGCAATAATATATTTTAATAATTACGGTTCCTGTGACTCTCCTGGACATGGTACATTAAATAAAATTTTTTTGTAAGTATTTTCCATTATATAAAATCTTGACAACCATCTTGGTGGTCACATAATCAAGTGTATTGCACCTCATATGCAACTATTTTGTCGTTGTAGCACGAATGGGTCAGCTCGACCGGGCTAAGTGAATGCTGCTGTGTTTCGTATGGTGAGTGTAGAGAACCTGAGACTCTTTTACTAGAAACGAGGCATTCCATCTTAGACCTCAGGTGTGACAACGCATCTTTATTTTGTTCTTTAATTGAGGATAAATGTAGATGTAGATATATATATATATATATATATATATATATATATATATATATATATTATATGTATATTATATGTAATAGAGTTAAAAACTATATATTTGTTTTTGTAAAGATAAATATTATATTTCTGTTAAAAACATAATAACATAATAATTTTTTACTAAAGAATATAAATTTAATAAAGCTTTTAATTAACATATTTTATAACTTGCCCATATATATATAGTATATTATATGTAATAGAATTAAAAACTATATATTTGTTATAAAGTTTTTCGACTATTGCGTATAACTTCACTATATAAACTCTAATTAAATTAAGTAAAAGGCAAATAATTAGGTAAAAATAGCCTACTTATTTAGAATAAGCCTTTATTTCAATCAAATAATCTGGAACTGTCTGTTAAGAAAGCAGCTCCTCTATAAGTAAAAATAAACATGGCGCCAAATCTTAAATATTTAATATAGTAAGTGGCTGTAAGGCGGTAATGAAGGACCAATCAATATAAAAGTTGGCAAAACGCCAAAACGGCGGTACACTGACACGCTGAGTCAAGTTTTACGGTATTATGTAAAAACGTTGTTGAAGAAAAAACACTGCGGTAAATTGAAGTACTCTACGTCTGCATTATGCAGAAAAGAAATTAATTTAGTTGTTTTTTTTTTTTGTTTGGCAATGTGCCTTGTACTTTTCCACAGACGTTATTAAGATATTTTTCTATGTTTTTATATTTAGAAACGTTATTCCCACACTAGGGTTTTCTCCTGTATCATGGAGACGATACGTACACTACACATGAAAAAAATATCCAAACCTGGAATTATTATTTGTAGGCTATGCAGGCACTTGTTCCATGTGGGATTCGAACTATCTGTATACATTTAAATCTTTTTTTTCTTTTTCTTTTTTTAAGAAAACATTACCCCCACACTAAGATTTTCTCCTGTATCGTGGAGGCAGTTTACAAACGCAAAATGCACAAGGACAAACATCCAGACCCGGAACAATTATTTGTAGGCCATACAAATACTTGTTCCGCGCGGGATTCGAACCCGCGGCCCCCAGCGCAGCAACTCATAGCTAAGTCACTGCGCCATGGAACCGTCATTCCAACCCGCGGCCCCCGCCGACCTTTTTGTACAAATCTAAAAATATATAAAAAAGATTCAATTATGTTTGTAGTGAATTACAAACTGCAAACTTCGTATTTAATGGTTTTAAATGTATAAACAATATTACCAGTAGGTATAGATAATTTATTAAAATAAGTGTAAAAATATAGAAAAGTACAATAAACACAGCACATGCTTAGGCAATATTTGTACCTTCACTCTGAAGGCCACTATATTGACCAAAGTATCAAGACTTTGGTAAAAAGTATCTTGGTATTTTGGGCAAAATCAAAATTTCGTTGTTGAAGTACCTTTTTTATAGAGTAAGGGTGACAAACGAGCACACAGTCCACCTGATAATAAATGGTTGCTGTGGCCCATAGACATCTACATCTATCTTCGTTTGCGAATTAAAAAGCAGATGCGTTGTCAGCCGTGAGTACTAAGATAGAATGCCTCTTTTTTAGTAAAATGGGTTTCCGGATCTCTACACTCCCCTTGCGAAACACAGCAGCATTAAACTGCTATTTTACGCTGGTATTCTGTGAGAGCGTGGTCCTTCCCCGGTCGAGCCGACTCATTCGTGCTACAAATATACTATTAATACAGCTGCAGCATGGCTCTACCTATCTTTTGATAGATACTTGGTCCCTTTATTGAATGAATAATTATGTGATAATCAATATTAGACTACGACCTAGGACCAATTTAAACATAAACGCTGCATCTACATCACGGTTGCATTCACCACAAGTGGGTCGGCTCGACCGAGGAAGGACGACGCTCTCACAGAATACCAACGTAATAGCAGCTTAATGCTGTTGTATATCGTGAGTGTAAAAAACCGGAGTCCCGGAGAGAAATCTTAGACAATATATAGTAGTGATACACTAATATCCCTAACACAGTAGGCACTTGAGTCTTTGATTTTAGAATTAGTCCTCAAGGCGATAAGTGTTGTCCTTATTATTTTAGAGTCCCTCTGGGTCATATATTTCTCTTTTTCTTTCTGCTACTAATAGTATTGTTTGCAATGCTATTTTCCGTTGTAAGGGGTTTAAAGAACCAGTATTATTACAGGCTATCAGGCATTTCATTCTCAGTGGTGACAACGCATCTGTAACCCTCTTTATTTAAAGTTAGCTGCAGGTATTCATGGACTGTTTTAGCCACATATCGTCATATGGACTGTAAGTTAATTTGTCACTTTGGTTTTATTAAAAAAATATTAATGTATTGATGAAGTCTTTTTGACGGCATAATTTCCTAACCTTCTAAATATAATGCAAATATAAAACACCACATTTATATGGCATAAATATCATCATCATTACAGCCCCTCACAAGTTCACTGCTGAACATAGGCCTCCCCCAAGGAATGCCACAAAGCACGGTCCTGAGCCATTTGCATCCATCGACTTCCTGCATGTCTTACCAGGTCATCACTCTATCTAGTAGGGGGACGACCCGCACTTCGTCCGCCGGTAAAAGGTTGGCACTCGAGAATATGGCACAAAATATTAAAAAAAAATTTTTTTCTTAAACACACAGGCAGGATTATTGTTTAAGCACGCGCAAATTTTAAAAATAATATGATATATATCTTTACAATTTTTATTATTTCATGAAAGAGGTTTATATTACAAAATTTCATTTATTGTCAATTAATGTAGGTATAGTCATTCAAATACATAAAGAAAATATTATTATTATAATAATATTAAAATATGAATATTGAAATTTTTAAATTCAGGAATATTTTATAACAAAAGCTATTTTTATTTATTCATATAATAAGTTATTATACTTACATTCTTCTCGTACTTCACTGACTGTGATCAAACAGCTTTTGTATAAAACAATTTTTCTTGAGTTAATTACTTAAACTGAAGGGGAATAGCTTTTAAGTTCTCACTTGAGTTTCCAGCAGATCACGAGTGCCGCATACCTCGATTGAAGCCGGTCGCAGTAACATTGCGCACAAAAGTGTCTGCACATCAGTTTATTATTCATTCATGGCTTGGGGAACATTGAGAATAAAACTACATATGAACAAAGAATATTAATCATAAATCTATCACGGTGGTAGAGCCACGCAGCAGTTTTTGCTGTTGCATGTATGGGCCGGCTCGAGCCGGGTTGGTACCACGACCTCACAGAATACCGGCGTAAAGTAGAAGCTCTGCTTCTGCGTTTCGTCTGGTGAGTGCAGGTGGCCGGAGGCCCAATCCCCCCCCCCCCCCATCAACATGGTAGCGGAATTATACGATGAACTACCCCAGGAGGGTACCAGTACCCCTGGAGAATCCCTCGCTGAGCATCCACGACCATGTTATTCCGATCCTGAGCGTGGGTGCTCAGGCTGCCCCGCGTATTCTGGGGGGGGCAAAATTCCGCTCAAAAGCATAACTGCTAGGGGCAAACTGAGCAAGAACACCAAGGCGACCCCTGCCACGCTATCCGTGAATTTCTGCAACATCAGGGGACTTCACTCTAACCTAAACGCCGTCCACTACCATCTCGAAACGGCGAAGCCGGCCTTGCTCTTTCTGACCGTGACGCAGGTTTCCTCTCCGGCTGATATTTCGTATCTCTCCTACCCGGGGTACAAATTGGAGCATTCCTTTGTGCCTCGGGCTGGAGTTTGCGTGTATGTCAGAGAGGACATCTGTTCTCGACGCCTCGGCAGTCTTGAAGGTTCGGACCTGTCCATCCTTTGGCTACGCGTAGACAGCGACGACCATCCGCGCGTCTACGGGTGCCTCTATAGGTCCCATAGCGGTAATGCCGAAACAGACCGACTCATCGACCACGTCCAAATGGCTACAGATTCCTTGCTACAACAGGTCCCATCCGCAGAGATCGTGATCCTTGGCGATTTTAACGCCCACCATGCCGAATGGCTCGGTTCACGTCTAACCGATCATGCGGGGAGATCTGTTTATGACTTTGCCTTGGCATATGGTCTGACACGACTGGTTACTTCGCCTACGCGGATTCCAGATGTGGAGGATCATACACCTTCCCTGTTGGACCTTCTGCTGACCTCTCATCCGGACGGATATCAGGTTTCCGTCGATGCCCCTCTCGGCTCTTCGGACCATTGTCTGATCCGGAGTGCGGTGCCACTCACGCTCCCTTCGCGGTTGCGTTCTGCAGGTTGCCGCCGTGTTTGGCATTACAGGTCGGCGGATTGGGACGGAATGCGGTCTTTCTTTGCATCCTACTCATGGGGGCGGGTTTGCTTCTCGCCAGACGATCCCAGCGCTGTTGCTGACTCTGTCACTGATGTGGTGCTACAGGGAATGGAACTATTTATTCCATCATCTGTGGTACCCATCGGAGGCAGATCTCAGCCTTGGTTTGGTCGCTCCTGTAAGACTGCATTACGCAGTCAGCAGGAGTGTTATCAAGCCTGGGCTGCGGCTTCGGCGACTCGGGATGTAAACACCAACACACTTATAAAGAAGTATAACTTCGCCTCCAGGTCCTTCAAAAGAGTTATTGCCAAGGCAAAGTCAGAGCACATACGCAGAATTGGCGAGAAACTAGTTCGCCTTCCTTCGGGAACCCGTGCATTCTGGTCTCTCGCCAAGGCTGTCCAAGGGAATTTCTGTAAGCCATCACTACCATCTCTGCACAGGGAGGATGACTCACTGGCCCATGACGCAAAAGACAAAGCCGACCTTTTAGGCTCCCTTTTTGCGTCCAACTCGACTCTTGATGACGGGGGAAAAACACCGCCGACCATCCCGCGGTGTGAGTGCTCCATGCCGGATGTGCTGTTTTCACAGCGCTCGGTTCGCAAAGCACTGCTCTCCCTGGACATCCAGAAGTCGAGTGGGCCTGACGGAATCCCCCCAATTGTGCTGAGGACGTGTGGTCCGGAGTTGGCACCGGTCCTAACGCGTCTTTTCCGGTACTCCTACTCCCAAAGCGTAGTCCCGAATTCATGGAAGACAGCTTTTGTCCACCCAATCCCTAAAAAAGGCGACCGCTCAGACCCATCCAACTATAGGCCTATCGCGATCACCTCCTTGTTCTCCAAAATAATGGAATCCATTATTAACTGCCAGCTCATCCGGTACCTTGAGGATCACCAGCTGATTAGTGACCGCCAATACGGTTTTCGTCGGGGTCGATCAGCTGGTGATCTTCTGGTCTACCTGACCCATAGATGGGCGGAGGCAGTAGAGTCCAAGGGGGAGGCGTTGGCCGTTAGTCTGGACATTGCGAAGGCCTTCGATCGGGTTTGGCACAAAGCGCTTCTTTCGAAGCTCCCTTCCTATGGGCTTCCCGAGAAATTGTGCAATTGGATCAGCAGCTTCCTTGCAGATGGGAGCATCAAGGTCGTTGTAGACGGTGCATGCTCTGACTACAGCCTATTAACGCTGGTGTTCCACAAGGCTGTGTGCTATCACCAACGCTGTTTCTTCTGCATATCAATGATATGTTGCTAACTGGTAACATTCATTGCTATGCGGATGACAGCACTGGTGATGCTCTATACACCGGCCGTGCCAATATTTCTCGGGAAAACGTCGCTGAGTACCGGAACAAACTTGTGTCTGAAGTCGAGTCTTTGCTGAGCAAAGTCTCGGATTGGGGGCGACTAAATCTAGTCCAGTTTAATCCTCAGAAGACACAAGTTTGCGCGTTTACCGCTAAAAAGAACCCCTTTGTCATATCTCCTCAGTTTCAAGGCACTCCCCTTCTTGCCTCAGCCAGTATCAGTATCCTCGGAGTCGACATATCGAGTGACGTGCAGTTTCGTGGTCACTTGGAATGGAAGGCCAAATTGGCCTCTAAAAAGCTTGGCGTGCTCAACAAGGCGCAAGTTCGGCCTCACATGAAATACTGTTCCCATCTCTGGGCAGGGGCTCCCCAGTGCCAGCTCCTTCCACTTGACCGCATCCAACGCAGAGCTGCGCGAATCGTCGACGACCGAGCCCTTTCCGATCGGCTCGAATCATTGGCACTGCGAAGAGATGTTGCATCCCTTTGCATTTTCTTTCGCATCTACCATGGGGAGTGCTCTGAGGAATTGTTCGGATTAATCTCAGCCGCCAAATTTCACGAACGCACATCGCGGCAGAACTCCCGATACCATCCACACCATCTGGATGATTGGCGGTCCACCACTGTGCGATTTAGAAGATGTTTTCTTCCTCGCACGACCTCCTTGTGGAATCGATTACCATCAGCGATTTTTCCGGACCGATACGACTTAGGGACCTTCAAGAAAAGAGCGTACTCCTTTTTAAAAGGCCGGCAACGCATCTGCGATTCCCCTGGTGTTGCAGTTGTTCATGGGCGGCGGTAGTCACTTACCATCAGGTGAGCCGCATGCTCATTTGCCCCCTCTCCTATAAAAAAAAATATCATAAGGGAGAGTTATAAAATATGTTATTTAAAAGCTTTATCAAATTTATGTCCTTTAGTACGAAAAATAATTATGTTGGTTTTTAAAAGAAATATATGATTTATCTTTAACCGTTATCCGAAGGGCTCTTGTCTTTATAAATGTTCCGTCGGTTTTAGAGCTTTGTGGAATATTTAGAGACGATGGCAGGAGACCCGACGGTATGACATTGGTCCCTTGGTTGAGAGGTAAAACCCTAGTGTGGGATGCTACTTGCGTAGACACTCTGGCGGCTTCTCATCTCAGAGATACCTTGTTTAGAGCCGGGGGGGCATCAGAGGCAGCTGAACTGAGTAAGTGGCGCAAATATGAGTCCTGAGAGATGACTACATATTTGTGCCATTTGCTGTAGAGACTATCGGTCCGTGGGTTCCACGTGCGGTGAAGTTCCTAAAGGAACTTGATCCGCGGCTGGTCGTTGCTGCTGGTGATAAGAGGGCTGGTTCTTTTCTCGCTCAAAGGCTAAGTATAGCCTTTATTCAGCGAGGAAACGCAGCCAGCGTTCTTGGCACGACATCGTGGGGAGTAGGACTATATGATAATTAAGTTTCTAGTTTTAGTTTTTTTATCATTATAGTTTTACTGTTATTACGATATGTGTATATTCATTTAAAATATATTTGAAAACAAAATTAAATTAAAACTAATAATTTTTCATGTTCTATACAAATAAACAAAAATGTAGTGTCTTTATAATGTCAAAATAACAGCTTTGACTACATGCGTGTGAAAGCTTATACGTTACTTATAACAAAAACACAATCTTTGAAATTTTTGTCTGTCTGTCTGTTTGTTCTGGCTAATCTCCAAAATGGCTAGACCGATTTTGCCGGGACTTTCACTGGCAGATAGCTGATGTTATAAGGAGTAACTTAGGCAATTTTTGTTATAGATATTAAAATTAAAACCCTAAATTACATAAATATTTGATATTGTTCAGAAATATTTGCATGCTTTGTAAAATAAGCAAAATATGAGCTCTCGTTTTTCCATGTTAACAAATGTTATACCACGATTTACGCAAATAAAAATTATTATTATTATGCGGTATCTATAAAGTTTTCTCATCTAGTTGGGTTGTATAAATATATAGTTGTAAATTAAAATGATAAACATACATAAATATTATTATTATTATTATTTTTACACGCGGGTGAAGTCGCAGGGAAGCTAATCTCAAATAAAATACTATATTTGTTATAAAAGTTTATTCATTATAACGAATTTTAACACTTTATTCTTAAACACTATTACACCGTAGATCGGTTGGTTTTTATAAGTTTGTAGTCAGATATTTTTAGCATTTGTCGAAAAGATAAATCAAAACCTTACAATTTTTTTTTATAAATTTATAATTACTGAAAATATGATCCATGCACATGAACTAGAAGTTCACATTTTTTACATTGTTATATATTAATATAAGCCTTCCCCATAGATTGCCTCATAGGAAGGATATTTACCATAGTTGCCACGTTTGGTAAACGGGTTGGCAAGCGCAGTTTTTTTATGTTTAGTCGTTAATAGGAAGTCGCTGCTGCCCATCTCCTGATTTGTTCCCTCTGTCGCCTGATATGATACGGGGTAGTGGATAAACGGTATTTATAAAAAATAATTTATCAAACACCTAAATAACTTGTCCACTCGAATGTACTGCATGATTTGGCTACGCATGCGCTTCGGTTCGCTTGTGCTGCCCTCATCGATTGACGCTAATCGTGAGGTAGGTCCGGGAAGGACCGCACGTGTCGCATGACATCAATGAAAACACGCTATAGCCACAGTGCACTGTATATTGAACCATTGTGACTCAGAGGGATACCTCAAAAATTAACAGTACGCGAGCATAGTAAGTTCAATCCCCGCTGACTCGACGATGAGGAAATATGCATGTCTGATAATTTCAAAATATTTCGGGGACACGTGGGGTCTCCTAAAACGCATTGCGGCGACGGCAAAACGTTTTAAGGGTATGCTGTATGCAAGGACTACTTTAAAACCCTCCCAGTAATAAGAGAGATAACCCAGCAAAGGGATATATCTAAGTTGTTACTTTTAATTAATTAGTTAACTCTTTTATTATATGCACAACAACAGACAATAATCAAATTACATAAAAAAAAATTATATTACAATTTTGTACCAGATTGTTATTCTAAATATGTTAACACATCATTTTTATATTAAATACAGGAGAGATAATTTCTACGCTGTACAATATTTAGACATAAATAACTACATAATACTATCAATTCAATTTAACCAACAACAAATTTAAAACCTATGTGAAATAGGAATGAATGTGTATGAGTATAAGTTGTTTTACTGTTCTTTTTAACCGACTTTAAAAAGAAAGAGCTTCTTAATTGAGTGTATGTTTTGTTTTTATATACATGTTTTCACAGATTGTGAACTAATTTTGAAGACTTTTTATCAAATAGTTTATATTAATTTCAATCAATCAACGAGTCCTGTAACCTTTTTAAGACATCTGCCTAATGACTAATATGTTTAGAAATTTAAAATAGATAGCTCATAAATAATTTTAACTGTAAAAATTATATCTATTGCATATCTAGATCCTGTTTATTCAATGTATAGTTAGTTACTGCATAATACTTTCACGGACAAACCTTTCAACGCCGTTTAATGTATGATAAGGCATATACGTCAAAGCTTAATGCCTGACCCCTGCGGTCTCTGAGTCAAATGATACACCGTTGCAACCGCATCGATTATAAATTATTGTGGATATAGTGCTGAATATTTTATTACATGGAATTATTATGAGGACGTATAACTTCGTCTAATTTCCTTTTGTGTGCATATACGTAGTTTATAAATGCTATTAAATCTATGATCATAATGCTATGTACTTTTAGTTAGTTTTATACTTGTTTCAATTAAACTATTAATACCATCACCAAGGTTAACGATAGTTAACATAATTATAAAAGTAAAATTCAACAATACCAAACTTTTAATAAAATATAAACGTTCCTTCAATTTGATCTTCTTTTTTGATATTGTATTACGCGATGAAAGCAATCAACAGCAGTATTACGGCTAAAGTAGGAAAGTGTCGGTTCGACCAGGAAGGGTCACGCCCTCACAGAATACCAGGATAAAATCGAAGCACAATACTGTTTTTCTTCGTGTGGCGGTTACCGAATGGTAATGTTCAGGTGACGCAATTGTCTCGCATTTAAAAGATTCTTAATCTAAAATAGACATTACAAGAGGTTGCCTCTGACAGGGAGACCAAGGATAATTTAAAAGTCAAAAGATACAGTTCCGATGACATTATGGCTGATCCTACTTTTATCACCTACAAACTAAAAAATGACCTAAAACTATTGTGCTAGATGACCCTGATCCTCAAGACGGAAGCTCTTCAATACCGTCAAAATCGAAAAGCACTGATCCAGTTTTAATAGTTCTTAACTGGAATAGACGCTAGGAACTGTTAAAACTGGCTCATTTCGTGGGAATCGCAGTATCTACTGGCCATAAGGTGGTCTGTGTTATCCTCACTTGAATAAAAAGAATAAGATATATTAATGTCAAATGAGAACAAAATCATATCAAAAGAATAAAGTGAAATGCCTTGTTAAAATTGTGACACTGTAACTATGTGAGAGCGTGGTCTCTCCAAGTTTATGCTATTAGACTTCACAGTGTGAAATGTTAAAATTATAAATTTATGTAAATGTTAACGTTTAAAAGACCAAAGTTAACTTTACAACCTTAATACGTCCCACTGTTGAGCACATGCCTCCTCTCAATCCTGAGAGGGTTTTGGGGCAAGGAAATGTTCGCCACGCTGCCCGAATGAGTGTTGACGAATACATGTCTTCGAAATATTTTTTTCGTCGTATTATTTCTCAGATATACAGGTTTCCTCACGATGTTTTCCTTCACTGCCGAACGCGTGGTATGTGATGAAAATACAAAATAGGGGATTGAAATATAACAGTACTGTTGTATAATATGACAAGTTACCAAAGACTAAAACGGACAGTCATATACAGCGTGAACACAGTTGAAGTGTATCAACATCAATCACTCTTATGATAAATACATTAAAATAAATTTTATAAGCCCATTAAAATTAGGGCGGTCGGGCCGCGAGCAAATTGTTCAGAGCGTCGGCGAGGGCCACAAAGGGCGCCGACTAATCAATTGCCTCTAGTGGGGCCCGCACTGGCGCTCAGTCTCGCTGGTGAACGGTGCTATCTTTAGTATTTAGGATTAAAATTCAAAAAAATAACTCGGTTGAATTAATTTAAAAAAACGCATAAGGAAGACATTAAATATACATTAAAATGACAGCCTATAAACGTCCCACTGCTCAGTACATTGGGTAAATTTTACTAATGGGAATAAATAATCAAATGTAGAAAGAAGAGCCCAACAGGCGGAGGCTGACTTCATATCACGTATTCATCATCATCATCATTACAGCCCTTCACAAGTCCACTGCTGAACATAGGCCTCCCCCAAAGAATGCCACAAAGCACGGTCCTGAGCCACCTGCATCCATCGACTTCCTGCATATCTTACCAGGTCGTCACTCCATCTAGTGGGGGGACGCCCTACACTTCGCCTGCCGGTACGAGGCTGCCACTCGAGAACCTTTCTTCCCCATCGGTTGTCGGTTCTTCGAGCTATATGGCCGGCCCATTGCCACTTCAGCTTACTAATCCGTTGGGCTATGTCGGTCACTCTAGTTCTACTGCGGATATCCTCATTTCTGAGTTTATCACGCAGAGAAACTCCGAGCATAGCCCTCTCCATAGCTCGCTGAGCGACCTTGAGCTTCCTCATCCGGCCAGCAGTGAAGGACCACGTCTCAGTTCCGTATGTCATCACTGGCAACACGCACTGGGTGTACAGTCTCGTTTTCAAGTTTTGAGGTATACCTGACGAGAAGATGTGCCGTAATTTCCCGAACGCTGCCCAACCGAGTTGAATCCGTCGATTGACCTCTCGGTCGAAGTTGGACTTACCTAGTCGGAATATTTGTCCCAGGTAAACATACTCGTCAACAACTTCGAGCTTAGTGTTCCCAACAACTACCGGCATAGGTGTGACATGGACATTAAACATTATCTTTGTTTTGTCCATGTTCATTATAAATTCATATTACATATTATATTTCGTATTATATTCATATAAATATTTTTATTTCCTAGACATACTGCTGTACTCGCGATTTTTTGTCAGCATAAAAACCAATAAAGAACAGCATGTGGCTAATCGGATTTAAATATTTTAAATTTATCACTTCATTCCTATTTATTGCGTTTTTATTAAGTCGCTTTCTTGTTTATCTGTCGTTCCGGGTAGAATATAGTAATTGATTTTTAAACTAACTAAATGAGCTGGAAATTTGAAATTCTGAATATAACGCAAATTCGGATGACAACGCAAGAATATTATAAAAAATGTGGTATATAAAAATTCTTAAATACAAAATTGTAAGAAAAATCACTTGTTAAAAAGCCTATATCTTATAGTGCATTACGATTTACGCTACAAAATATATAAGACATTTTAACTTTTTGTTATAGTACATGCTTGTGTCTAATAAATACAGTAATTATCAAGTAATCAGTTACATGTTTTGTCCCGGTACAAGCGCGGCACACTAAGATACCAAATGCCGACTCATCATTTATTTTATTAGCGATACTCCGCGAGGCATCGTAACTCACTATTATGCGTTTATTTATTTAGCTATATCTTTAATTACTGAAACTTTAGAAATAGTTATTGCCCATCCGCAAGACGTACAATAATTAATTTTCTTATAAAAAATCGAAGCGTTATGAATACTAGTCTAGTAATAAAAAAAATCTTTATGATAATGCAAAAACTTTGGGCTAATTACTTATAATGATTAAGCATTGATAAGACGTAGACGTGGAAAATCCCTTCTTGACTTATTAGCGTCATCCGTAAAATCCACGTTTTTTAATCCTTTACGAATTTAAGGCGAATAGCCTTTTCTCTACGGATTTCATGACAACCCAAACTACTACGTAACTATGACCATTATGACCAGTGTCCTGTCCAGTTTAAAAACTAGGTATGGTTGTTCGTCCCATATCAGGTTGTTTTTTTTTTCTTCTTTTTTTATTATCATATGCCAGTATGTGATCTGACGGTATTATGATTTATGCAAAATCGCAATTTAAAGAGATAATTTACGTATTGCGGTGAAAGAAAACATTGCCAGAAAATCTTATGTTATTTGTTTTAATACATTTAAAGCTAATTTTGTATACAATGGATTAAACGTAGTTTACTATAACAAATAGATATATTCTTCTTCTTCATCAGCACGTAAAATTTCACTGTTTTTTTTTATAAGTAAGTTATTATACCATAGACATCTATATTTATCCTCAATTAAGAAATAAAATGCATATGCGTTGTCCACCTCTTAGGAATGAGATAGAATGTCTTCTCTACACTCATCATACGAAGCACAGCAGCATTAAGCTCCTATTTTACGCAGGTGTTTTGTGAGAGCGTGGTCCCGGTCCCGTTGGACCCCTGTCGAGCCGACCCATTCGTGCCACAACCATAATATAGCTGCAGCGTGCCTCTACCACGTAAACTGTTAACCATTGGCCCCTTAAATTGCACATCACCACTTACCAGCAGGTGGGATCGCAGATAAGCGCTGGCTTAGTAGAATATGAAAAAGAACGTGTATGATAGTAATCTACACATTCAAATAAAATTGAAGGGTCTGTGGTAACATCGAAATAACTTCTATTAAGTGGTTATTTGAATGCCATTAAGATAAACAATCATTAAAAAAATCTGTCTCTCTGTCTGTACGGGCTAATCTACGGAATGCTTGAACCGGTTGTGATGAAACATGAAACTTTATGAACAGATAAAGAGCAATACTAGGAGGGATCTATTTTATTTTTTATCCGGAAATCAATTTCTAAACGAAAAATTAATAAAACCAATGGTATTTCATTATTATCTAAAATTTAAATAGCGCTCCATAACGGTATTACGCTGTTATAGATCCTATTCAGACCAAGCTGGGGTGTGTCGCTAGTTACAAATAAAATGCAAACTAAGGTAAAAATACGGTACTAGTTGCGTAATTACGCTTGTGGAAACAACCTAAACTAAATTATTCTTTACATTTTTAAAAAAGGTTGAAATACCCAACGCCTAAAATAAAGGCAGGTGCAGACCTTCCTGACGCTCTATCAACAATTAGCCCACTTAACCTGCAACTAGATGTTGTAAACAAATCCTGGCTTTGTCCACGAAGTTAACACAGCCCGGCTAAGTGCTAGTCGATCCTTGTTAACTTTTTAGGTTAACAAGGCGACCGCGCTGTTTATGCTGTCTGTTATTGGTACAAGGAGCTAGCGCCTTGCCGCGCTTTGTATGGCCCAAGTTGATAAATGCAGCGAATATCCTTAATTTGAATATTCTTAATAAAAACTATTTAACATGTGTTTCACTTATTTGTCTCAATTATTCTATAAAGTGGTTTACGAACAAAATGAAAGAAAAAACTTTCGTTATATCATAATGAGAGATTATTTTCGGAAGAGAGTAAAATAGTTTCATAGTTAAAATTTACGTCATTATATTATGTTCCACACTTTGGCTCAAAAGTTTCAA